TAGATACATAAGAATACCTATATTTGCTTATATACGCATGAAACATTCATGGAATGATACAAAAGAAACAGACAACACTGGTTTCTCTGGAAACCAGTAAAGGTCAGACGCCCATCCTTCTGACTGGGCTTCACAGATAAATGAGCAGAGGAGCAACAAATGATTTTTTAAGAATGAAAAAATGGAAACTATACATATACAAGAAATATTAGAAAATTCTCATACTTCATGTTATCAATGGAAAATAAGCATAGATGAATTGAGACAAAAGAGAAAACAGAAGGCAAGAGCAAGGATGAAGAGTAAGGTTCCCACACAGAGACCACTGACCTCATGCGAAACGACCAGTAGCTCTGCGTGGCCGGAGTACAGAGGGAGAGAAGAAGTGAGCTATTGTGGCTGAGGAGGTAAGCAGAGGCCAAACACCAGGGCTGCCCAGAGCCACGTTCGGGAACGTGGATGATATGCTGAGAGCAGTGGACAGAGTGACTGGTTTCAATCAAGGGAGTAGGAGGATTAGATTTGTGTTTTGAAGACCATTTTTGTCTGCAGGGAGGATAAAGGATTTGAAGAGGGAAAGATCTGAAGCAAGAAGAGTTAGGCTGATATAACACATTCAGTGACAGAGGATGGCCTGAACTGAGTAAGTGCAGGGGAACAGAGAGGCATGTAGAAAGTGAAATGGCCAGGACTTGGTAACTGAATGGGTGATAGAGGAGTCAAAGGCAGTGACCAGCATTCTGACCTGTGCTGATGGGTAGATGGAGCCAGGAATGGAAGGGTGAAAGCTGGTTTGGTGGGAAAGACAATGTGGGAATGACAATAGGACACCTGAGTGAAGATGTCTGGCAAACGGAGATATGTGGTCATCAGCCTCCATGTAGCTAAAGAGTAACACAGTGAGAATTGGACCTAGGAACAACCAATATATAAGGGGCAGGTCAAGGAAAGAATTGAAAAAGAAGATTAGGAAGAGGTAGTCATAGAAGCAGGAGGAAAACCAGGAGATGATGGCATCATGGACACCAAACGATGAGAGCATTTCAAGGTGATCAGAGTCAAGAGCTGCCAAGAGGTCAATGAGACAAGGGCTTAACACAAGGTAGTTTCTGGCAACCATGGCGAAACCAGAGGCAGTGGAGCATAGTGGGAGCAGAAAGGGCAATTCTAAATCCTACACCAGCAAAATTACCAATGACTACATGATTAGGATAACTTGTGAAAAGTAAACAATAAAATGACCTATAAACACATGATACAAGATGAAGCAAGAATGAAGACATCATTTCTTTACAAACCACTGTCAACCACCCACCAACATAGGATATGCTCAGTATATGAAATTTCAAGCGGAAAAACATCCAACACCTGAACAAAAGAATTGAAATTCCAAAAATATTAAGCAAAAAGACTATTCATTCTGATATTTGGGTGCTGAATTTAGCATAAGCACCTCTAAAATGCCAAGCCCATGGGCTACAACAGTACTGGCCAGGGTCCCTAAAAGCCTCCCCGGGTACGCAGAGGCCATCCTCGTTCCAATCAGGCAGGGACTTGAATACAAGGCCACAGAGAAAGCTAGAAGACAGCAACGTTGCCAACAATACATTAACAATGCAACGTGAGGGGAATTAGTCACCCCAGCCTAGTCTAGCACCATGCCCAATCCACACAACCAAGAACCTTCACTTCAAATCCCCTCATCTACATGACTGATTCAGGTTGGCATTTTGCCTTCTGAGACATGGAGTCCAGCCAAACCACGCTGACAGGCATTAGAAGGAAACTGAAGAATTGAAGAAAGAAAAACACATCAGCCATGAAAACCACAGACTGCTGTCCCAAGAAAGGCCCCTTGCTCTCATCTTAAACAGAAGGCAATGCTCCAAACAAGAGGGGGGAACCTCCACTGATGCCAAACAAACATTAAGGGAATTGGACTGTTGCATATTATTACAATGGACTGTTAAATCCGTTCCAAGTCATTCATGTTACAGAAAAGAGAAGGAACTTGCCCAAGGTCACATAGAGTTTGACCGGACCTGGGCGAGAACCTGTCTGGTTTTTTTCTGCACTATATCGTTAAGTCCTTCTAATGGCCAATCGCTGCCAAATACTTATGTCTAGCCCTGGCTCTCTCCAAAGCTCCAGATCCATATATCCTACCATCTCTTTGACATTCCTCTTGGCTATCTCCAAAGCTCAAATCCAAACATCCAACAGTGAACTCATGATCCTTCCCCAATATTCCCAAGACCAGTTTTTCATCCAGGGCTTCTTAGCTTAACAGATGACATCACCATCCATCCATTTCCTGAGCCAGAGACTAAGGAATTGTGTCCAGTGTTTGAACTCCAGCCCTACCACTTCCTACTGTGATCTTGGGCAAATTAAATAAGGCCTTTAAACCTCAGGTTTTGTCATCTGAAGAATGGGATAATAACAGGAATTACCTCGTAAGATAGCTGTGAGCATGGAAAGAGACAAAGTATATAAAATGCTAAGCACATAGAACATCTTTGTTTTGTTTTTTTAAAGATTGGCCCTGAGCTAACATCTGTTGCCAATCTTTTTGTTTTCTTCTCCTCTCCAAACCACCCCCACCCCCGGTACATAGTTGTATATTCTAATTGTAGGTCCTTCTAGTTCTGCTATGTGGGACACCGCCTCAGCATGGCTTGATGAGCGGTGCTAGGTCCACACCTAGGATCGAAACTGGCAACACTCTGGGCCACCGAAGCAGGGCGCATGAACTTAACCACTCGACCACAGGGCCGGCCCCTAGAACATGTCTTGATATGTGCAGTTCCCTCTATCTTCTTGCCTACTCCCCCCAATCCCACCCCCTAACCTGGTTAACACCTATGAATCCTTTCTGTTTCAACTCAAATTTATTCCCCACTAGAAGCCTTCCTTGACGACCCTGTCTGCCAGGGCCAGGTCATAACTCCCCCTCCCAATTTTTCATCCTCAAAGCATGGCGAAATTTCTATTCACCTCACATGATTATATATTTACTTTGTGATGCTTTGATTAATTGCATCTCCTCCAACAGCCTATAAGCTCTATGAGGGCAGGGAATGGGAGTGTTATACCTCATTTTTGTATTCTTAATACAGTACCTGGCACTTAATAGGCATTTAGTAAATATTAGTTGAGTGAAGTGCCCAAGAAGCATGTTTATCAGTAGAAAAATGGACCTAAAGATTAGAAGAGAAGTCACAGGACACCAATCCATGGAAGAGTCCATGACCATCCTATCCAGGCAAATAGGTAGAAAGGGTCCAGTGAGCCCCATTCAATCACTGTAAAGTTAACGATTTACTCCTTGTTTGACCATCATTCTAACCATTCAGGATTTGGTCTCCACAGCACTAGAACATACACTGCAGACACATACACACCCATACCCCGGAGATTCTTTAAATGAACCCCAGTCCCTCCGATACCTTTCCTAATGTAATCCTCACTCAACAGTGGATGTAATTCTTATGTTTAAAGACACATACTTTTGTACCACAGGACCTCAAAACACAGCCAACTACTACATCTGGGGCTCAGCTGAAGAAACAGCTGTCTGTTCCAACTTGGGGGTAAAACTGAGCTCTACTGGACCTGGGAGAGAATGGCATCTTGGCTCTCCAATGTGGTACCAAGAAGGGATTTTCAGGAATATTTTTTTACTACACTCAATGTTTGTTTATGCAGAAACTCTAGAACCTAGCCTCCTTTTAATATGGGACTCTAATGTATAGCAAAGTATTTTCAAGTGCAGGTTTTGACATTGGGCAGGCCTGGGTTCAAATTCTGGTTCTGCACCTTACTAGTTAAGAATGAAACCTCAGACACATTACTTGACCTCTCCCAGTCAGAGTTAACTCATCTGTACTAAGAGATAAAACAGTACCTAGATCCTATGGTTGTAGGAAGTATTCAATATAAATACATAGCAGATGGCTAAATTACTATCTTTAAGAAAGTTCTCTGCACACAGAGTATCAACTTAGAAGATAAAGTTCTGTACCATGCCTAATACAGCACCCCATTCCTGGAGGGTATTCCATGAACACCATGATCTTGCTTAGCTTTTTTTATTCTGTTCGAGACTACCAGCCACTCCTTTATGGGAGTATCTGACACCACCCTTCTATTTTGAGTAGAACTGCCTGCACATAAATGATCCTTCTTCTAAGCTGGGCAACTGAAATGTTATACAAACCACGCTACTTCCTCTTGTCTTTAGGGTGAAACAGTACTGTTTTCATAACTTCTCTTATGCAGACATATACACACACACACACACCCCCTTTTTTGAGAGTAGGACTTCCTCAGTGCAGCACTCAGAGATACTACACAAGATAACAGTTGCAGACACAGAAAAAAGAAGAGCTCTTTAGCCAAAGGCAAACACTGGAGAAAGGGAAGCTGAAATTTCCTAAGCTGTAGCATAGCCAGGAGAAACCGAGACATCATTGGTACTTCTGCCATATTTCTTTTGTATTTATTACATATGGGAAACAGTAGTTGCTGTCACTTGTAAAATAACTGTTCCCCACACAGCACTGGATTAGGCACTGAGAGAGAATACTGAAGAAATACCTCTGCCTTCTAAAAGCTTATAATGTAATTGGAGGCACAAAACAAATGCACTGAATGCGTAATAATAAAGAATAAGGCAGAGATAAGAGGCCGTTTTGCAAAAAGTAAAGCCCTCTTGAAGGAGGAGCCTAGTGATTAAGTAGATGAAGGTGGAAGGGCATTTTAGACATACCAAAGACCAAGAACTAGCCTGGATTAGTCTAGAGACACTGAGAAGGAGTAGAAATACACATAGGAGAAAAGATTAGGAAAACATACAAGCAACAGAACAAGAAATGCAATATTTGCATGAGGGGCAGTTTTACACCTTTGCAAAAAAAAAAAAAAAAAAAAAAAGGAGGCCCATCAAAAAGCCATGTCCCCGAAGTCTTCCCTTGGCATACCCCCACAACATCACTTACCCGGATAAGGGAAGTCTGATGCCGAGGGGGCTTGGCTCCTGGGCCTCCCGTTGAGGCTCCCTCAGGCTGGACAAGAGGCTGTCTAGCGTCATAAGGAGCTGAAACAGCAACAGGGAAAGTCAGCATGGTACACAAAGATTTCACCCAAAAATTATGACCTCACACTCAAACTGATACAGTGTCTGCTCTTTAGGGAAGAATTAGCAAAGGAATCAGCGTTTATATGCTTAGGGCCACCTAGGACAAAGAAACAAACCTTGGTGCCCTTGGGTACAATTTAAACAATCTAAAGACATTCAACCAATTCATGATAAGGCAGGAAAATATCTACATCAAATTAAGATTAGGAATAAATTGTAAGGGTGGAATGTGAGAACCTAAATTGGGATAGAAAACAACGGGAATAGTTAGAAAAGTGCCATGTTATGAGCGTTCAAACTCTAAATATAAGGTAAATTCTATATATACCTTCCTGTTTAAAAGTCTTCCATTCATCCTCCACCACACAAAGAAGAAAATTAACACGCATTTTGAACACCAAGAATCAACATTGTTTACTTCGTTTATTTTTGAAAACTAAATGGCAATGTCTTCTTTTCCTCATTGGAAAGAATGTAAAACCAAGTAGAGAAGAGTACAAAAAGAAATAAATGTATTTTATATTTATTATTTTATCATTCAATAACCAAACTAAAAGTAATTTTGCTACCTTTAAAAAGTTTTAAGCTACAAAAATGAATGCATTTTTTATTCCTTTTATTTTCAGAACACTTAATAATGACCTTGCCAATACCGTAGGAAAACAGTTCAACATAACCAGAGAGTATTCAGCTCTCACAGAAAGGAGAAATTATCACCCAAGTTGAAACCATTTCTGATCTCCATGGGTTAACAGTTTGAGTTTTTGAAAGTATATAAATAAGTAAAATGCTTTCTTCCTGTAGATTCCTTATAAATAAAATTAGGTAGAGAGAGCAGAGCAGCCTGTTATGGTGTCACATTTAGCATAGTTTTCTCTCTTTAAAATAAAGAAGGTATAACAAAAGCACATCAAGAACAACAAACCACTCTTAAGCTCACATCTGCTTTTAGTATTTCCTCCAAGCAATGGATAAAACAACATTATAACACGTTAAAATACATTAAAATATCAAAATTATTGCCTGCCAAACCATTAAGTAAACATTCAGACCCTGCTAAGAATGGATAAAGATATAAAAATTGCAAAAGAAACACACAGAGAGCACATAACCCAAATCTTAAAAAATAAGTCTCAGCTGGTAGTCAGGTGTTGCCTTCGGAGAAGAAATTTTAAGATCATTCCATTTTGATGGAACGCTGAATTAAGCTCTTCATGCTGGAAGGTTTGAACCACAGTAAACTGTACCATGGTTGGCATACTAGTGGTCATGAGCTTTCCCTGGGAAGCTACCCCACTTGCCTCTGGTTTCCCTCTGAGGGAGAGAGCTTCTACTGCCCAGGAGGGACAAATGTAGGGGAAGACCATCTGGCCCTTGGCTTCAGTCCCTCACCTACAAGGGCTTTCCCTCAGAAGAGACAGACACGTCTCATCAGTAAGGCTTAAACGAAGATTCAGCTGCATGGAGGGTCATTTTTGGAGAGGCCTGGACTCACAGCAGATTTTCTCTTCCTACTCCTCTGGGAAGCCTGGGTTGGCTACACTTGCCTGTGACTGGAAAGGTGAGTGCCTGAAGCCCATCTGGTCACAAATCTAAGACACGTGCTCCAATCAGCTCTATCAGTACCACAGCTGATATTCAGGCCACCCTCATCTCATTCCTGCCTCATTCCTCAAGAGGATCTGAACTCAGGAGGTAAAAAGGCAGGTGTTACTTATTACCTCTACCCTCCCTCCTCCCAAATAAAATGCAAAACATGCAACTCAATGCAAAATAAATAATTCTTAGGTTCCTTTATGAGAGATTTAATAAAGAACTAGAAATACTATCTTTCTCCAAGGGGAGAAGTATAAAACAAACCCTAAAGATTTTACCACTCTGAGATTCAGTGTCAAACTGGAACAGAGACCACGAGTAACTGTACATTAAAGACTGTAGTCAATCCAGTGAATGACATCCAGAGTGACTTTCAAAACACTTAAGAGCTTCAAAAATAAAACGGGTATCAGAGTGTAAAAACACAAAAGAAAATAAAAAGGAACATTCGTGCATCTACAATATGCCAAGATCTGTGCTAGGCACAGATGTTTGCATAACACCTCTCATCTGATCCAGAGAGCAAACCTCTGAGGCAGCGATTATTCCATTTTACAGATAAGGGAAACTGAGGCTCAGAAAAGAAAAATACTCATAGTCACACAGGCTAGAAATGGACAGAAACGAGAAATGTAGGCCCACCAAGTCTATCTTTAGGCCCAGGAGACTGACATCACAGCCCATGCTCTTGAGTAGATAGTTAGAAGTGATTCATGAGAATAACGTGTATAAGAAAAAGCAGAACGGACATATTGATTTTGAGATAAGACATTAGATATCAGAAGAAACAGGTATAAGAATTGAAAGTAGTTGCCTCCAGAGATCAGAAACAGGTTGTGTAGAAAGGAGAATAGTTGTTTTTACTATAGGCATTTAAGTATTATTGAATTATACGCATATATTACTGTGATTTAAACTTTTTTTAAAAATATAGATAGCAGTATCTGCCTCTGAGGGTTGTGGTAAGAAGAAAATAATGCACATAAAGACCTCTGCATGATGCATGGCGCGTAAGTCTTACCCAATGAACATTAGTGATAGCTATCTCCCGCAGGTGATATTAGCAGGAGCCCAGGGGAGAAGCTGAAGAGGGACTCTGAATCACAGACTGGCCCAAAGATGCTCAGTCTGATTTAAAACATACTCACACACATGCCCCACTAGCCAGGAATCATGGCAGAATATTGGACAGGGAAAGGACCCCAGAAAAACGTATTCCTAGAAAATTATCCCAGCAGCAAAATTGCTTTCTGCAAAGTCATAAATTCATAAATTAAGAATAACTCTAGAATGCTTAATACCAGAGTCACTAAGGTTTAACAGGTTTTAGATATGTTACTGTGTAGATCAAAGGGAAGACAGAGGAAAGAAATAGGAAAGAGAATCCTGGGTTCTTCAGATGGGTTGATGGCATTTTGAAGGCAACAGAGGAGAGTTAAGTAACAGATGGAAAAACACATGAAAGCCTTAAGAGAAATTGAGTTCTAAAAACATGGGGAAAGACAATGAAGACGTGTGGGCTTCTCTTACTTCTTGACCTAAAGATATAAGACAGAAAAGGAAGCAGAGAGGTAAAGAAAATCCTTCAGGGGAAAATCTACAGACGTTAAAAAAACAGGAATGAACAAGCTTTGAAGTGAATAGTATTAAGAAGAAGCAAAAATCACAAGACGGACCCAAGTTGCAGATAGGAAAAAACCTCTCCCTCCCTTTGACTTAGATAGATGGAGAAGTCTAAATGGAAATACCTATAAACATTTTATTTATGAATGACCTTGTTCCCAGCTACAGGTACCGAACAGCCTCCTAACTGATAACTAGATCCAGAAAACTCAGCTCCTTGAGAAACAGGAGACTGTCCACTCAGACTCCTCTTCATGGGTATGCTGTGCAAAAGAGAAACCTTTAAGAAGAGCAGCTCATCAAGTTTAAGGAGCATGATATAGGAGAAAAACCAGGAAGGGGTAACAGAAACTCAGGAAACAATGTTTCAAGATTGAAAGAGTTACCACAAGGAGATGTCACTTCACACCCAATAGAATGGAAAATTAAAAACACTGAAGAAAAAGAAACCACTGAGAGTACCAGCTGCTGGCAAGGAGCACTGAACTCTCAAACATTGCCAGTGGGAGTATACAGCCATTTTGTAAACTCTTGGCAATTTCTTATATAACTACCCTAAGATTCAGCAAATGTTCATAGTATCCTTATTCTTAACAGCCAAACACTGGAAATAACCCGAATGTCCATCAACAGGAGAATAGATCATCAAACTGTGGTACATTATACAATGGAACAGTACTAACAAGAAGGAACAAGTTACCGATACACACAACAATGTGGATCAATCTCAACCACAGTCATTCAATATGATTCCATTTATACAAAGTTCTAGAAGAGGCAAAACTAATCTATGGTGATAAAACTCAGAACGGTGCTTGCACTGGGGTACAAGGAATGACTGGAAAGGGGCATCCCTGGAGTGATGGAAATGTTTTATTCTTTCTTTTTTTTAAAGAAAGGCAGACTGCCACATGCAGCACCTCATTTGGATGTATCTGGAGTCTTGGAGGCTTGACCACTTTACATTCTCCTACAAATGGACCTTGAGAGCTTGTTTGGAGGTTCTGTCATGGGAGCACAGCCACTCATATACCCTTGACCGAAGAATGGTCCTCCTCTATCGAAGAAGGTCATCCTCTCCAACCGAGCGTGCATCTTTGGGAAGGACACACATGGAGCAGTGAGGGAGGAATGGGACACCCACATAGCCAGCCAGATCAGCTAAATCAACCCTGGCGATCAATGGGGTAACAGATCTCACAGCCAGATAGCCCTCACATCCGGAAATGTTCTATATTTGATCAAAGTGGTGGCTACCTGGGTATATCCATTTGTTAAAACTCAAATTGAAGATTTTTTTTTTTTTTTGAGGAAGATTGGCCCTGAGCTAACTGCTGCCAATCCTCCTCTTCTTGCTGAGGAAGGCTGGCCCTGAGCTAACATCCGTGCCCATCTTCCTCTACTTTATATGTGGGACGCCTGCCACAGCATGGCTTGCCAAACAGTGCCATGTCCACACGCAGGATCCGAACTGGCAAACCCCGGGACGCCGGAGCGGAACGTGCGCACTTAACCACTGTGCCACCGGGCCGGCCCTCAAATTTAAGATTTTTAAATGTGTTCACTTTATCATACGTAAATTTTACCTCACTTTAAAAAAAGGATGAAAAAGAAGGAAGGCATGGACAACCCTGACATAGGCTGCCAGGAGTCAAGAAAGATTGAGAGAAGCAGATTGTTTGCTTGCCACTGGGGGAACAGAAGCCCAATTTGAACAGAATGAGGAGAGAATGGGGCATGAAGTAGAGAGAGCAAGTACAGGCAAGTTTTTTAAGGAATATCAAAAAAGATAGGGTAGAACTTGGTGATAGGCTAACTCAGCAGAAGAAACATGACTCACCTGTGAATCAAACACCAAAAAACAGGCACCATGCTATGCAGAGGACTCCACCTTCCAAACCCAAATAAGATTAGGAATCAAAACCCCTACTTCTAAAAATAGGGAAATCAAGCAGGAGAGACTATAAGAGGAAAATAAGAATTCTCAACCCCATTTCATTTCAGACACCAATGGGACATTCAAGCTGCAGGGGAGTGATTTTTTTGTTACTATCCCTTAACAACATTATCTTGCATTTGCATAGGACTTAATTTCCAATTTTATACTCATGTTCTCACTAATCCTCACAACATCCCTCTTAAAAGAAGAAAGGAAATCATGGTTCACAGAAGTTAAATTGCTTGCCCAAGGTCACAGAGCTAGGCACATAAACCCACATCTTCTAATTCCAATCACAAGACATTTCCATTATGTCACATATGCTTCTCTCTGCAAGATTACAGCCTCTCTTTAGTCCAGTCTAGCACACATTTTTATATCTGCGTCCCTCTAGAAGTCACCACTACTTTCAATGCAGCAAAAACCTGCAGAAACTGGGTCTTTCCAGCCATGGCCCACAAAATAAAAAGGGGGGGTTACGAATATCCAATTCTAGAATACCTTTAAATTGGTCGTATCTTAAACTAGGAGCCTGAGCCCCAGGAGGACAAGATGCTGCAGTGAATTTATGGAGCTTTAAGCACTGCAGCCTGGGCGGCCAACTCTGCAAGTCATCCTCAGAACCAACAAACGTATTTTACCACTGACACAGCCAGCACAGTACAAATATGAGCAAGCAGGCACCCCTACAACCAGGCACTTAACACACTTCTCAGCAAAATGCTTCCCCTAGCATTTCCTTTATTCTTATTCCTAAACATAAGAGCTAAATATTTTCGTTTGTGTGATCAGTCTTTAAAGGTTGCATCAACTCTTTTGCTTTTGCATAGTTATATTTCTTAAGTAGTTTCATAAAAGCAGTTATTATATAAATATGTTTGGTATGTTTGCAGAAAGGAATAACAATTCCAAAATAATACAAACCCTTAATATGCCATGTTCCTGTAAAATGAAATCTGCATATGAAGGATTAAATCATCTAAATTGCTGCTCACAAGTCTAAAGATGAACTAGTGTGTAGGACAGGAGACAAGGCATTACTAAGATATATTTAATTTTATTTTTTTAAAAAACCTTAAGAGCATACAATTAAATTGAGCCATGTTTCCAAAGACAGAGGTAATTACGTCAGGAGATTCAGCAGCTGGTGGCATGGCTGCCTGATAGATTGAGTCTCGAAGACGCTGCCTGGGACATCTGGCCCCGAGACTGCCTCTTACCTGGATGCATCTGCTCCGTGCTGCTCCGCAGTTTGCTGTAGCCATGGCTCAAGGGCACCCTCTGGTAATGAGGCGGGGAAGAAGGAGGGGAAGCGAGGGGTGACATCGTGGGAGACTGTGTTTCCTGCTTCAAAGAACCAGAGCAGAGTTCAGAGGCGATCACTCAAGAAGCCTGGCGCTCTGAGCTGCAGTTATGAAGTATAACGTAACTCTACTGCTGGTGAGCTGGCTGATTTAACAAATGGAGGAAATGTTTTCTCAAAAACGCAGCTTGGTTAAAAAGCAGCACCTGAGGATTCAAAGGTCTCCCAGAGAATAGTCTCAACGGGGTTCAGTCACCTAAATTACTAAAACAAGACTGAAACACTTTCAGTTATGCCAATATTTTCCTTCAGGAAATGAAGGACGTTGATCACATGAAAGAACATTCATACTCCCCAATCTTGATCTCTTTGTGGATAAATTTTCATTCATTAATAAAGGCTCCTATTTCCTGGATTTACACTTATCAAGTCTTCTAGCAAATGTGGATATTAAAAAATATTTAAAATGATTAATGCTGGGGCTGGCCCAGTGGCGCAGCAGTTAAGGGTGCATGTTCTGCTTCAGCAGCCTGGGGTTCGCCGGTTCGGATCCCGGGTGTGGACATGGCACCACTTGGCAGGCCATGCTGTGGTAGGCGTCCCACATATAAAATAGAGGAAGATGGGCACGGATGTTAGCTCAGGGCCAGTCTTCCTCAGCAAAAAGAGGAGGATTGGCGGCAGATGTTAGCTCAATGCTCATCTTCCTCAAAAACAAAATGATTAATGCTAAATATTCCTGGAGCTTATTATGCCAAAGTAAAATGCCAGCTTTTTCTTTTTTTACACCGAGATTGCAAAACAATTCATTATGGGCAAACCACTCCAACTAGCCCACTCCTAAACACTAGAATGGAGCCTTAACGAGCTACAATTTGAATCTGAACTCAAATGTGAACTTTATGTAGGACCCAAGGCAAGGTAAGCAATCTTACTCTATTACTGGGTTTCCTCCTTTTTTTAATATACCAATAGAGTGGTAACTTTGGAGTACCCAAGTAATAAGGAAACAGTACTTTTACCAACAGAGACTATACAGCTGCTCTTAGTCTAAACATATATATGCAATCTGAAATACTTATCAACTACTCTTCTTCAAGAAAAAGAAAAGAATATTTGCTTTTAACTGTGAGGTCACACCCACAGATCGGTTGGGCCTAGCATTAAACCAGGCTGAAGTGAAAGGATGGGTCCTCAATCATGCATCCAGGCAAGTTCCCAGGGCATCACCCATCTTCCGATAGTGGAATCTCATTCCTCTCCAAATGCCAGTGGGAACACATGCCAAAGAGTATTGACTAAAGATTTCTATACTCCATTTTACATAAATCCCTGAGGAACTAGTTTAAAATGTATCAGAACTATGAAAGCAACAGTACATGGAGTTATTTAACAGGACATACTACACCTCACTTAAATATAAAACTTCTGCAGCAACACCTCATATATCCAGCAGTATGGGTGAGCCACGTAAATTAGTTTTCTGACTTAACATCTGCCCTTTAATATTTATTGCATTTTAAAAACATTTTGATTCATCTTCCTAAATATAACAAATCTCTTTGCCTTATAGAAAATACTATATCGAATATAATTTGACTTTTCTTATGACTTTTTGCATCTTTATTACAAGTATGAGCTTGTACCTTGACTCCCTCAGAGTTTACTAATGTGTAAGATTATTTATCTCTTCTTGATAGGCTCACTCTTCTGGAATTTTATACTTTTGTCTCTACCAATCACCACCTGACTACTGCAATTAGTGGTCTAATTTTAAAAGCTCATCCTCCCTATTCTTGTTCCTAACCTGCTAAATATGTAATAGCAGCATTTCCCAAGATGGCATTCCAAACATGCTCTCCAAGAAAGTAAATGCAGATTTCTAGGTCTCTTCATTACAGGACTTCTCAAGGCCTTTAATGTTCTAATGTGCGCTGTGAATCTCCAAGACTGAAGATGTAGCCTTTCCCCGAAGAATAGGATATGAAGCAGCATTCTCCAAATATATTTACCCAGAGAAACCTTTTCTCTAGACTTTTTTGGAGGAGGAGACCTATTAAAAACTCCTAGAAGTTACATTTCAAAGAACCTATTTGGAAATGCCAATTAGAGAAATCAGATAAGTGTGTTAAATCAGTAGCCTTACTTTAGACACAATTCTACATTAAAGTAGGCTCTAAAGGGCCCATGGGGGGCTCATGGTAATTCCTATGCGTCAGCCTCTTGTTTTTGCTACAAGGAAACTTGACTGGCTCACTTTCAAGTCTGTAGTTGTATCCCAGATGGTGAGATTTGCTGGAAGCTTGACAGCAGATATGAGGCACTGCTGCGTGGGGTTTCACGGTCAAGATCAAATGGACATGCCTGATCCAACTGTTTACCTGTTTATCCTCATCGTCCATTCTTTTGAAGGTATTTTTTTCCGTGATTAAATATGGAATCTGCATCTTAGTTCCAAGCAGTTCAGCCGGGTTCCCAAATCGTATCTCACCATCAGTCTTTGACATCATAAAGCGAGGCAGCGGCAATTCTTTAGGACCAGAATCAGAGAAGCTCAAGTGAGACTTTATCTTAAAATGTGAAAAGGGGAACTCAATGGCCAAAAGATGAATCACTTCTGAGGAAAAATTCCAGAGCACTAAATATAGATTAAATTTTTATTTCAACACAATGAGGACTCCTATAATAAGGTCATGATAAAAGAAAAATGCTACAGTTTTACCAAGGTATTCCAGCTTAACATTTTTAAATGCTGTTGAATCATCGCAGACCAAATTCAGGTTTTGGACTGATCTCCCGCTTCCGCTCTTAGTCCAGCACGAAGAAAAAGGATATGACATTGTATAAATACAATATTAAGTGAAAAATGGTAGCAGGCAAAAACTTATACAATGCTTATTATATGCCAGACACTGTATTAAGATCTGCAAGTATTAACTCATTTAATCCTCACAACTCAGTAAGGTAAGACTATCATGGGCCTTCTTTTACAGATGTGGAAATAGACAAGAAGGAGCTAAGTAACATTCCCAAGATCACAGAGCTCACCTATGGCAGAGCTAGCTCGTAACCAGTGCCAAGTACTGCTGCCTTACAGTTTGCCTCATTCCTAGGGCAAACTTACTGGATAGAACAATGTCTTACCCTATGTCATTCCTTAAGGAATTTTCACATTCAATCTCCAGTTGTTGTTTCATAATGGAATAAGGAAAATGGTATCAAGTTAGAGCAGTCAGTCTAACGTTCAGCCAGATTCTACTGTTGAAATCATTAGCCACACTCCCAATGTTAGAAAGAGCTGAAATGCAACAGTCTGATATACTTATCTTTTGAATTTCTGACAAAACTATTCTGAAAACAGTAATGATGCTTTGGCACACTTCTAGTTCTCAGCATAGCAAATCACGCACAACCACACAGCACAAAAGAACTCCAAAAATGGGCATAATATTATGGATTACGCATAACGATTTGCATCTGTATCCATTGTTCGGGATAATACTCATCAGTGTGCCTTTGTGCTTCCATCAGCTCTCTATTTCAAACACACAGCTGCACTTCCAATGATTGATGCTGTGCTAAAGCCAGAAAACATCTTAGCAACAGCAAGCAAGTATCCTAGCTCCCCAGGCAAAGAAAGCCCCTGGTTCTCTAATAACCACATCATGTTTATTTTTAGTTGCTATGTCCACATTTGATTCAAAGAAGTAGGCAAAATGACAAATCCCTGCGTGATCAATCAGCCAAGGGCCCAAGAGACACAAATAGAATTACCAATCTGGAAAATTAAACCAAGACTCTCCTCTAAAGAGAGGATGACCGCCATTTTTAACGTTTTAATGTGTCCCAACCTCAGCAGCTCTCCAGCACTCAAGGCAGAACAAGGGCTTCAAAAGAAAAAAGGCAAGAGAAAAGAAAATCTAGATTCCAAGTCAATCAAATATAAGCTAATCCTATGGTTCTCTTCTCAGAAAGGTATCTGTTTCAGCCCAGTCTGCAAAAAGAATGTAAAAAGATGGAATAAGATGATATAAAATAATTTGCACCCTGATCTGACCACGAGAGGATGACTCTACTTCCAAACATTATTTGAGGAAGTAAATGCTCAGCATTTGTAAGCTCCATGACCAGTGCCTTACTGGTGTTCAACAGATAACTCCAAGAACAGTGGAATATGAACACAGTATGATGAATATCAACTATTAGACTAGGGCTTCCAGATATCCTTCAGGACATTGTCACTTCACATGTTCTCCTTCCCTGGCTATGGCACTTCTCCAGAACTGTTTACCTGGGAAAGAACTTATCTCTCCCAGACAGCCACCAAATAGAAAAGGCAAAATACAGCTGAATTTCTCTCAGACTTTCTTTGGTTATGTGGTTTTAAATAACTCTCACTCAACAAAATCGTAACAAGACATAATAATATTCCTATCATTGAAAACTTTAATGAGGGTGCTAATTCCCTTCAGCTGTTGCAAGCTTTTAAAAAGTAGAAAGTAAAACTAGTTTGCAAATTTTCAGTCTATATGTTTTTTCCTAGTCATACATACACCAAATCCAATAGTGAAACTGTATTAGAAGATTAATCAATAAAGTTTGTGCTATCCAGTGTTGTATGTCAAGTAATCACAGGAGAAGATCCATTTGTAGTAGTTGGTTAGAATCTTTTCTCCCAAATTGAATTTAATTAACACACAGGAAACAAATTAAGAGTTCAAATTAAATGTTTATAGGGGCCAAGGAGACAATGAGTACAGCCATGCAAGGCAATAATTTGTTTCATAATGGTATCTTAAGTTGTATTCTTTGAACATAGAAATGCTTTGTATATTAAATATAAATGACTATTTTTCCCTTCCACAAAGAAAACTGTCTCTTTTTTTAAACATGTGATCTTCTAAAAAGTAAAGCAAAAATCCTATTTTTCCACGTGTGATGGAGACATGAATATAAGAAACACTTCAATTTCCTCAATCCACTAGAAAAAACAAAAGCAGCATAAATGTAACAACAAATGGCAAATGACAACAGAGAGGGTTGGGGCTGGGCAGAGAGCTCGTGTCTCATCTAAAATGGCAGCTGCTGTTCACTGTCCTTCAACACTGTCCACTACAAATACAGTTGTCCCTTGGTATCCGTGGGAGATTTGTTCCAGGACCCCCTCAAACACCAAAATCCACAGACGCTCAAGTCCCTTATATAAAATGGTGTATTTGCATATAACCTACACACATCCTCTTGTATACTTTAAATCATCTCTAGATTACCTATACCTAATACAATGCAAATGATATGCAAATAGTTGTCATACTGTATTGTTTAGGGAATAATGACAAGGAAAAAAGTCTGTACATGTTCAGTACAGACACAACCATCACAGACCTTTAAGGTTGGTTAAACCCTTGCATGCAGAACCTGTGAATATGGAAGGCCGACTGTATAATACAAGCCACACACATAATTGTAAATTGTGTAGTAGCTACATTACAAATTTTTTTTTAAGTTAAGAAGCCAGTCACAAAAAGACAAATACTGTATGATTTCACTTACATGAGGGATCAATAAATAGTGAAACTCACAGAGACAGAAAGTAGAATGGTAGTTGCCAGGGGTTGAGGGGAAGGGGAATGAGGAGTTGGTGAATGGGTGCCAAGGTGTTTTGCAAGGTGTGGTGAAAAAATTCTGGAGATTGGTTGCACAACAATGTGAATACACTTAACACTACTTAACTGTACACTTAAAAATGGTTAAGACATTAAATTTTATATTTTTTGTGTGTATGTACGTGTTTTATGTGTATGTTATCAAAATTGTAAGTAAAAAAGGACAAGTGAAATTAATTTTAATAAATTTTAACCTAATATCATTACACGTAATCAATATAAAAATTATTAATGAAAGATTTTATATTCTTTTTTCAGACTAAGTCTTCAAACTCCCACGTGTATTTTACCTATACCATAGACCTCGATTCAGACACGCCACATTTCAAGCACTCAGTAGCCACAGTACTACGGCTACTGGCTACCTAGTAAAGCAGCACAGCTCTAGCTGATGGCTGCCATGAGGGAATGTGAACCATTGTGGCCAGAAATCTGGATTTTACCAACAAATATTATAACATTAAATGTCAACAACTAATTGATTTGTTTCCAAATTATGTAAGGAGCATTTTACATGGAGGGATAATTTACATATATAGATCTTAAGTGTACCATCTGAAGAGTTTTGACAAATGTATCTATATGCACACAACCAACATCCAAATTAAGATAACATTTCCATCATATAGAATTCTTCTTCACATCCCTTTCTAGTTAATCCTCTCCCCTTGTCCCACTCAGGAACCTCTGTTCTAATTTCTAAATCCATAGATTACCTTTACCATTACAGAATTTCACATAATGGAATAAATCCAGCATTTATCCTTGTGAATAGTTTCTTTCACAACATTTTGTCTGTGATAATCACCCAATACATTCTATGTAGACACAGTTCATTCTTTTTCACTGCCATGAAATAATCCATTTTTATGAATATATTGAAATTTTTTAAATCCATTCTCCTGTGATGAAAATTTGGGTTCTTTCCAGTTTGGGGCCACTGTGAATACAGCTGCTATGAACATTCCTTTGCTTTTTTAAGGACATGAATTCATTTATACTGGGGACACCTATGAGCCAAATCCAACCTGTTGCCTATTTCTGTACAGTCTGTGAGTTAAGAATAGGTTTTACATTTTTGAATGTTTGAAAAACACTGGAAGAAAAATATTCCATGACATAAAAATTATATGAAGTTCAAACATCATTGTCTATAAATAAAGTTTTATTGGAACACAGTCATGCTCCTTTGTTTACATATTGTCCACGTCTGCTTTCAGTTCAATGGCAGAGCTGGGTAGTTGCAACAAAGGCCATATGGCTCACAAAGCCTAAAATATTCACTACCTAGCCCTTTAGAGGAAAAGTTTGCTAATCCCGGTCTTACACAATGCAATGGTTAAAGTGAAATGTAATCTTACTAAAACAATAAAGTTGCATTTAATGGAAAAATATTTTACAGTGCTTGCGTTTATTTAAATTTTAAATAATTAAAATTCCTCAGTCACACTAGCCACATTTCAAGTGCTCAACAGCCAGCCACATGTGGCTAGTGACTACCATATTAGATAGCAGAGTTTACCTGATTTTATTCTCACAACAACTCTACAAGGCAGGTACTATTGGTATACCCCTTCCCCAGGTGAGTTCTTTGAAGCTGAAAGAGATTAAGAAACTTGCCTGAGGGCACACAAATAAAAGGTGATGGAGCAAAGATTCAAAATTAGAAAGTCTATTGCTGGGGCCCATACTCTTAGCCACTAGGCTACACTATCATCCTGAAAATTAAAATATTCTTTCTATTGTAGGTTTGAATATTCAACATGGAACTGGCATTTCAGAGCTGGAAAATAGTCTAGAGAAAATCTGCTAGAATATCCACATTTCACAAATGAGGAACTAAGCCCAGGAAGGGGAAGGTGGGCTTTGCCTTAGTCATGCAGCAATATGGTGGCAGAGCTACGACCACAACAACACTCTTGGCTCCTGGGGCTCCCTTCTCTTCCCATTACTTTTCATTGCCTATTCATTTATACCAGCTACTTACAGGTTAACAAAAAGTAATGACATAATGTTCTATAATTCCAAAGTGAAGCCATCGCCACACATTTTCCTGTAGTTACTCTGGAAAAAATATCACATCGGTCATATCAACAAACATGCCCTGAGTGCCCACAATACCCCACAGGGATTACCAGATCCTCCTCCCTTCCCCTTAGGCAAGCTTGCACACTAGTGAGGATGACAGACAAAAAAGTTGTCAAGTCTGTAAAGGAATACTTAGAAACTCTGATAAATGCTATGAGGGAGCAGATCCGGAGAGACAATAAAGCTAAAGCAGGGAGGGGATTGTCACACAGAAGCATTTCCTAACAGGTACCTCCAGGATTACCTAACTCCCCAGGGATATGCACTTTTGTTTTGACTTACTATTTACTCCTGATTAGGCATTTTACAATTCTGTAGGGGTAGATATTAACTTGTAGAAAACTGTTAGCTAACAAATAATTCCTATCTAATAGCAATGCAAATAACTTTCATCTTAGAAAAGAGTATAATAACCAAGCTACAGTTTTATTGCCCTGTTGGGTATTAATCAATTTTATATGTAATCTAGCAATCTTATTCCAGCACTCTTTCTTACCATCACTATAAATACTTCTGACTCTCCTATACTTTCTTGAACCAGCTTTACTTTACTATATGCTGGTTCCTTTGTTAATTAATTAATAGACAGGACATACTTTACACAGGATGGTGGGAACAGTCTCTGAATCCTGAAAGATGAGGAGGAACAGCCATGGGAAGGGGAAGGGGAATAACAGACTGATTGGAACCCAAGACCTTGAGATAACATAGTCTTTCCTGCAGCAGGAAAGAAATGGTCCAGAAATGCCTAGAAGGCCAGCGAGGCTGAGGGACAGATGGTAAGCAAGGGGGAGAGGTGTGAGATGAGGATGGAGAGTAGGCAGGGACTAGATTATGTAGGGCCTTACAGATCAGTATAGGGACTTTGAATTTGGTACTATGTACAACAAACCACTGGAGGGCTTTAAGGAGGAGGACAAAATGATCTGATGGATATTTTGAAAAGACTACTCTTACTGCTGTGTGGGAAAAGAGACTGGAGTAGAGAAGAGGTCAGGAAACCAATGACAAAACCATTGTATTACCCAGGTGAGTGGCTGAAGATGGCCTGGTCTAGTAGGGGCAGAGAGATGGAGGGAACAGGCAGTGAAACTGGAGCCACACTGCCAGGACCTTTGATGGATTATGTTGAAGAGTGAGGCAAAAGGGTGAATCAAGGATGACTTCTAGGTTCCTGGCCTGAGCAACTGTACACAGTGGTGACATTTACCGAAATGGGAAAGGCTAGGGGTTAGAGGTTAACACACACATACACACAGGCACGTGTCATCCATGAAGTAAGGGTATGACTCTTAGAGAAGTTAAGGATGGACTCACAACTCCCTGCGTGTGATGGGACTACCATAGCCTATCAGATTAGGTTCTCAGAGAGCATTCTCTTTGGCCTTCAAGGTTTGTGTCATCAAACATTAAGCTAATAGATTTCAAGCAACAAATTGGAAAATTCTAAGTGGGGGCTCTAAGTTTGGCCCAATCTTGCCCTCATTCTTACTCAACATATTCTGACTGCAAATAACTTTTATTTAATAAATCTTTAAATGAAGGAAGAAAATTCAGAATTAACTCTGAGTATACTTAAACCCTCAGAGGTAAAAGGCAGTGTCAGGATTTATAAAATACAACTGAGAAAGCCTTATATTTGTGAAAAAGTGCTAATCTTTTACACAAGTGATAACTTAGACAATCCTTCCCCTCCTCCGCCCCACCCACCCCGGGGATAATAAGGGGTACATATGAGTACAAATCAGGTAAAAGACTTCAGTCTAACTTAAAGTAAGCAACAAAAGTGTCAAAAGTTTATCCTTGTATACAACAAAGGAGTTCTAACTTTTCCGGAAGATAAAATTGGAAGATACTACAGTAAAACTTAATGACCCTTTACAATTGAACGGAAACTATCAGTGCCTATCACAAACCCAAACTCAATGTGAGTTTTAAACTAATCAAAGCAAGTGACTGCTATGTCTTGTAGCAATAAACACCAAATCTGCCACTGAAATAACACTCCTTCAAGAAACCTATTTCAAGGAACCAAATTATGTAATACCAAGCAAGGGATGCCTTTTGGGTCATATTTTTTCACCATTTGGAACATATTCCATGATTACAGATTACAGTCAGCACCTTACTAAACAGGAAGAATAATCAAGAAGAGGCTACTTTGCATAGCAATGAAGAGCCTGAGAACTGGAGGCTGAGCTCCTGTCTCCAAACTCTACGAACCTTGCGTCCTAAGGAAAGTTACTCAACGTCCTAAACTTCAATCTCCCCATCTGTAAGACAGGGATAAGAACAGTACCACAGCAGAGGCTGCCAGTGCTCACCATAGCCAGTTCTCCTCTCCTGTAATGCACAGGAGAGAATTACATCTCCCTCAGTCTGCTCTGCAGTTTAGCAGATCCATGTGATAAGTCCCAACGCACTGTGAGCAACAGTAAAATGAGTCACATCCAGACCAAAGCATTTAACTGCTAGGGTGAGACACTAGTCCTCTGTTGCAGCAATTATGGGAACAGGTGCTGTGTTGGAGGTGCCACAAGATAAAGCAGTCAGGATCACAGAGCCAACACATGGAGGGCAGCTGCCCTAGAGGGTCACCCTGATCCACTGCAAAGCAGAAAGCAAACCTTTGTTTTGTTAAGGCACTGAGATTTCGGTGGTGTTTGTTATCACAGCTTATTCTAGGCAATGCAAACTGACACAAATACCTAATTGAGTAGGATGTTGTGAGTACTAAATGAGACAGTGCCTGGCACACATGCTAAGCCTTTAATAAAGATTAGCAGGATGATCTAATGATGGCTAGTGCAAAAGGGGTTTGTTTTCCACAGTCAAGCTACCAGAATCTTCTCAGCTATTTGGAGTTGTCCTACAAGGTTACCATGGACTAACCATAAACCCTGAACCCTACTCACAGTCTACCAGGGACTTGACAGGAGAGGAGACAGTTGAGTGGTTTTTATCTCAAAATGAGGAAAAGGAAAAAGTTCCTACATGGCTGTGTGGACATATGAAAGTAATTTGTATCAAAGTGAATTAACAGAGGACCTCAGCACATCCCTTGAATAATCACCTTCTTCACACAGATTTATAAAACCAATACTGAGACAGTATAAATGATGCTAAGAGTTGGGGACTTTGCTTCTGGTTTAAGTTGCAGAAAGTGCTCAAGTATACAGTGGGTTGTGGCAGGGACGGCAAGATAAGAAAATGTTAAATCAAAACTTTGAGAAGATGCCTAAATTTTGGTAGCCCCACAGTACTTAATAATCATCAGAATAGTGCTTCAGGAATTGGGGAATTAAAGGATGACCACATGTAATATGACTGGCAGAGACAGGGGAGAGAGAAAAGGGGAAGTTTCACTCAAACTCTCCCAATTACCCATCCCCTTGTCCCTAACAGAGCCTTAAATGACATTATAGATTGTGCAAGTAAAAATTAAACTGAATCTTATTATTTTGCCACAGGCTCTAGAATTCTCATTCCCATTGCTTTCTGCTAAGAACAAAATCTATTTTAACTGCAAGTCAGCTAAAAGGAACTAATCTCAAGCCATTCTCTGAATTTTTTTCCCCATTTAAAAAAGAAACAAGAAACCAAGATACCTGCTAAGTTTTCTTATTTTACTTTACAGAAGAGTTGGAGAAGCAAGGAGAAATTCCACAAATGCTTATAGAACAGGCCTTAAACCCATAAAAATGGTTCTCATAAACAAGAAATCTGTCATGGACAAAAAAAAAAACGTGTAAATGGGAGATACTTACCACATTTAATACTCTCTATCCGCACAGGGAGGCCAGATTGTGCTGCAGCAATTAATTTCAAGGCAACGTAAAACTGTGTCGGACCAAAATAACCAACTCGCTTGGCACCACACAGTTCTGTGATCTGAAAACAGACATGAAAAACAATGCTAAAAACGTCATTTCATGACAGGAAAATGAGACAAGATATATTATGAAATCTCAAGGATTTCACAGTGTAGCTAACCAAAAGTCCCTGGAGAAACTATGTGTACACACTGGTCGCTTTCTTTTTCCTCCAGTTTACAGGGAGGTTTTCAATTCGGATAATTAAATTCTACCTACTCGTGATGTTTCAGGACTGAGTGATTATTCCTCCTATCTCAAAGACAAAAATAAAAGTGACAAAGGATGGCTGTTACTCTTCTTACAAAAGAAAATGACTTTTTCAGGGGGTGGATTCTAATGTACAAAGTCTACAAAGTCACTGGGGTGAAAAGAGAACAGATTAGTCATTACCACTACTTGTGGATTATCCTAGTTGATCGAAATTAAAAGTGAATTATTTTCAAAGTTCTCAGGCAAAATGATTTGCTAAGCATTAAAATTACATCTTGAGTGCCCACTTCAGAGAAACAAAAAAGAAATACTATACACACAAATATTTTCAACATACTGCAATCTTTCATTTGCAGACCTTAAACTAACACATATCCTATTGGTAGTTTAATAACAAATTAAACATTCAATGACTTTTTAAAAGTTATTTCAAAATAATAGATATTTGAAAGTTCAAATAATAGTAAGTGGGGGTGAAGAACTAAAAAGCACCCCTCACTTTCTATGCCCCAGAGGAAAACACTATATTCTTCTAGAAATGTTCTATGCATATATATATAGCAGACACCTGTGTTTTTCCTGTTGTCTATTCAATACTTTATACAAATAGAATACCATATATTATTTTGCAACTTGTTTTTCATTTAGCACTATCCCTTGAATATTTTTCTCTATCGGCACAGTTAAAATTACCTCATTGTTTTAACAATTGCCTAGTATTCTGCTCTAGAGATACACCATGGTTTTTTTTTTTTAATTAGCTGGTCCTTATGGATGGGCTTTTAGATTTCCAATAACTAAACACCAGAAGTGCTTTCAAAACAAACTATAAATAGCCATTAATTAATCTTAAGAAAATTCCTATAAAAATTCAACTTGGATGTCAGCAAAAAATGGCGGACTAAGGGCCTCTAAAATTCTCTCTTCCATCAAAGCAATGATAAAATTGACTAAAATGGACAGAACTCTGGAAATTAACCAAAGGCTTGCAGCAATCCAGGGAGTGTTTATTCAAGAAAAACAGCTGAATCTCAGGAAGAACAGTGGGCTTTGTGGCATTTTAATTAGCCTTATTCCCATTCTCCTCCACCAAAACTCAGGGTATATTCACTGCATTGCAGGCATCGCCAGTCTGCACTCACATGAGAAAAGCAGCCTGGCAGCGAAGGGAGGGGGCAGGACAGGGCTGAGATTCTTGGCTGTGTAGATTAGTGTTTTTCATAAAACTGGGGTAGATGTCAGCCATTACTTCTTCAAATATCTTTCTGTCCCTCTCTCTCTCTCTCTTCTCCTCTGGTACTTCTGGTATTTCCAGCAGCCCACAGTCCATCTCTCCTAGCCCTAGTCTAGGAGCTGGGGTTGACGGGGTGGGAACCCTGTCTTCTTGGTTGTTCCCACCAAAAATAAAGTTTTCACCATACCAAATCAGCGGGAGAAGGGAGGGGAGCAAGTAGAGGCTCAAATGCTGCAGATTCACTGTTCTCACCAAGATTTAGTAGATGTTCTTGAATAAGTGTTTCTCCATTTGCTATATGTCCTCAGGTCAATTTCCGGAGACTTTAAATGATTATTTTTTATAATTTTTACCAGTTAAGAGGTTGTTTCACTGGAGAGAGGGTCTGCTGAGTTTCTCACACTGCCATTCCAAAAGTCTTAAGCCTCCCCAGATTCATTCTTGAATGGAGAAGCAACAGGATGTTATGGTAAAGACAACAGCCCTTGGAGTAAATGACTTGGGTGCAAATTCTGGCCCTAGCACTAACCAGCTGTTTGTATAACCTAAGGCAAGTTACTTAACTCTTGTGCCTCAGTCTCCCCATAAGTGTAAATGGGGATAAAACTGCTTACCTCCTGAGGGCTAAAGTAGCAGTGCTGACAATAGCGTCCATACAATAAATGCACCACTGTCTACTTTATTGGTCTTATTTTTTCCCCCACTCCAGCTGCATATTAGAAAAACCTGAGGAGCTTTTGAAATATACAGATACCTAGGCCCCACCCCCAAAGATTCTGCTTTAATTGGCCAGTGGTGTGGCCCAGGCACAGGTATTTCTGCAAAGCTCTCAGGGTAATTCTAATGTGCAACCAAGGTTGAGAATCACTGCTCTTTGAGTGATCTCATTCTCTCTCCAGGCTTCAGTTACCACCCAAATACTAATATCACCAAATCACTCTCTCCAAATCTAACATTTCAGACATTTCAGGAACTTTTCCAAAACCCTACTGGACATCTCTACATGAACACCCTAAGCCATCTCAGACATGGTATCAACAAACCTCACTCATTTGCCCCTCCCCACGTATCCCTGAACCTGCTAATCTTTCAGCAGCCCTCACCTCAGTTGATGACATCAACCATTCCATATCCCAAATCAGAAACTTTATCTTCAACACTAACCATATCCAACTGATTCTACCGCAGAACCATTGCCCAAATCAAGGCTATCTTCTCCTTTGCCACTGCCTTAGTTTAATCCTTTCTAATGTCATTTGGCTATTGTGACAGATTTTTTAAATAGAATTCACACATTTAAACATATAGGAACAAATTTCTTGTTTAACTTTTTTCTTTTTTTTACTTTATTCCATTAGTTGTTGTTCTTCTCTCAACAAAAAGGGCAAGCACTGAGAGAGGTAAAGAATCCGAGTGCGACTTTCAGATAATAGTGTCAGTTTTCCTCAAGTAAGCAAGTATGCATCAATACTTATGAGAATCTGTTTCTAGAAGAAATGTTGCTCTTTGAAACTTAAAATTTTTTCCACTAATTTATATATTTAGCTTTTTATTGAAGTATAATATTCATATAGAAAAACATAATACACATACAGAAAAACATACAAATCAAAAGCGTACAGCATATAGTTAGATAGGTTTTCATAAACTGAACTACGTAACTAGCACCCAGATCAAGAAATAAAACATTACAAGCCTTCTAGAAGCCCCCCTTTGCAGCTCATTTCAATCACTACCCACACAACATTTTCCTAACTTCTACTACCACAGATTAGCCTTGCCTGTTTCTGAACTTGATATAAATGTAATCATAGAGTATGTACCCTTATGTCTGACTTCTTTGTTCAATGTTGTTTATGACATTTTTCCAAGTTGTTGAATGAAATTGTGATTCACTCATTTTCATTGTTATTCAGTACTTGTGTGCATATATCACAAATTATCCTTCTGCCACTGGACATCTGGCTGGTTTCCAGTTTGGGTGTATTCTGAATAGTGCTGCTCTAATATTCCAGCACGTCTTGTCAAAATATGTGAAATGGAAAACATTAGAGTGAAATACATTTCTCTTTGGTTTACACCTAGGAGTGGGAATTTCTGGCTTACCAGACATGTTTATGTTCAGCTTTAGCAGACATGGCCACACTGCCACCATCAGTGTTTGAGAATTCAGACTGCTTCACGTCCTTGCCAACACTTGGTATTTTTCAGTTTTTTCATTTCCATCATTCTGATGAGAGTGTGGTAGTATCCCATTGTAGTTTTAGTTTGCATTTTCCTGAGAACCATGAAGTTTAGCACCTTTTCATATGATCATAGGTATTAGGTTCTGAAACTAATACCAACAAGTGGAGGGTGGGTTTCCTACACAGCATCAAGTAATTCTCCTACACAAGCTGAGTGTCTAACAATTCAACTCAATTCTGACACTATCTACCCAGAAATAGCATCAGATTCCATAGGTTGAGGGCTCAGTCCTACAAGACAGCAACTCCACCCACTTGAGACTCCAGTTGCAAGTCTAGGTTGTCACCTATGCTTCTGACCCACTGGCTATAAATCAGAGGTTCCCATGACCCCCTCCTCAGGACCAATTAATGTGCTAGAGCAGCTCAGAGAACTCAGAGAAACACTTTACTTACCTAGATTACCAGTTTATTATAAAAGGATATAACTCAGGAACAGCCAAATGGAAGAGATACATGGGGCAAGGGATGGAGAAAGGGCGAGGAGCTTCCATGCCCTATCCAGGTGCGCCATTCTGCCCAAATCTCCACGTGTTCACCAACCTGGAAGCTCTCCAAATCCTGTCTTTTTGGGGTTTTAGGGAGGTTTCATTACATAATCACGATTGATTAAATCACTGGCCATTGGCGACTGATTCGACCTCTAGCCCCTCTCCCCTTCCCAGAGGTTGGGGGGGAGGGCTTAAAGTTCTAATCCTCTAATCATGAGGTTGGTTCCCTTGGTGAACAGCCCCCATCCTTAGGTTACCTATAGGCTTTCCAAAAGTCACCTCATTAACATAACAAAAGACACCTTTATTGATCTTATCACAGGAAATTCTGAGAGTTTTAGGAGCCTTGTGCCAGGAAGGGGGTCTAGAGCCAAATATATATTTCTTATTATAAATCACAGTAGGCCATTTGCATGTGACTGATTCTCTACTAAGCTAAGTTCCATGAAATAGGGAGACGTGTGTTTGTTCATCAGTTCATTCCTTGCCATATTGTTTGTGCTTAATAAATAGTGGTTGAATAAATAATTTTCCTGAACCAGTCTCTCTTCAGCTCCTCTTCCAATTCTGGATCATCCTCCATAGTGCCTGCATACTCTTCTTTTTAAAAGCTGACAATACTGGGGGCTGGCCCTGTAGCCGAGTGGTTAAGTTCGCGCGCTCCGCTGCAGGCGGCCCAGTGTTTCATTGGTTAGAATCCTGGGTGCGGACATGGCACTGCTCATCAAACCACGCTGAGGCAGCGTCCCACATGCCACAACTAGAAGGACCCACAATGAAGAATATACAACTATGTACTGGGGGGCTTTGGGGAGAAAAAGGAACAAAAAATAAA